ATAACAGAATTACTGGTCTACTGGATGAGGAGCAGTAGACTAGATAGATCTTGGTTTTAGTAAGGTTTTTGATACAGTCCCACATGACATTCTCATAAGCAAAATTGGGGAAATGCGGCCTATATTATAAACTGGTTGCGCAAGCAGAACTGTTGAAAGACCACACTCAAAGACTAGTTATCAATAATTCACTGTCAAACTGGGCGGACATCTCTAGTGGGGTCCTGCAGGGGTTGGTCCTGTTCATTACCATCTTTGATAATAGAGTGGAGAGTATGCTTAAAAATATACAGATGACACCAACCTGGGAGCAATTACTAGCACTTTGGAGGACAGGATTAGTATTCAAAAGGACCTTGACAAATTGGAGAATTGGTCTGAATTCAGCAAGATGATATTCAATAAAAACAAGTGCAAAGTACTTCACTTAGGAAGGAAAAAGCAAATGCACAACTACAAAATGGGAAATAACTAGCTGTGAAAACTGCAGTAAAAGTGGATGAAAAATGGAGGACGAGTCACCAATGTGATACAGTTGCAAAAAAGGCAAATATCATTCTGGGGTGTATTAACAGCCTTGTTGTATGTAAACAGGAGGTGATTGTCCTGGTCTGCTCAGCAGTGGTGAGGCCTCAGCTGGAGTACTGTGTCCAATTCTGGCCACCATTCTTTAGGAAAGATGTGGGAAAACTGAAGGGCATCCAGAGGAGAGCAACAAAGGTGATGAAAGGTTTAGAAAACCTGACCTGTGAGGAAAGGCTACAAAAACTGGTCATATTTAGGCCTGAGAAACTAAGACTGTCTTTAAATGTGTTAAGGGCTGTTATAAAGAGAGCTGATCAATTGTTCTCCATCGTCAGTGAAGGTAGGACAAGAAGTAACAGGCTTAATGTGCAGCAAGGGAGCTCTAGGTTAGCTATTAGGAAAAGCTTTCTAAATATAAAGGGTAGGTAAGCACTGGAATAGGCTTCCAAGGGAGGTTGTAGAATCCCCATTATTGGAGGTTTTTAAGACCAGACCGGACAGACACCTGTCCGGGATTGTCTAGTTTACGTGATCCTGTTTTAGCACAGCAGGCTAGCATAGATGACTTTCCAGCCCTACATTTTGGTTATTCTAATTCATAAAAATATTGCATGTCTTGCAACATTTTGTGGTTGGGGATGCTGCACTACATGGTGTGCAGTGTCTCAGTGAAACACAAGGATAGCACAAGCTGGCTTGTCAGCTCAGACATCCGACATCTTAGGAGACATGCCTCAGTGCATAAACCAGAGAACCTTCCCTTCGCTGAGAGAGGTACCATGTGTTCTCAAAGTGCTGCAGTCCTTTCTGTTTCATACAGTGTGTTCTCTCTTACTGTACCTACCCAATGTTCAGAAGTTCTTTAGTTCATATTGTTCTGAGGTTTAAGACAATGAAGGCTTTTTTTTTTTTTGCAGTTCTGTTAGTAACTTGGGTGGACATATTCAGGTAAAAACTACTGCTACTGCACATGGGTGACTCAGCAAAAATGAATTGTTTTATGGGTTCATTTGTTCTGCAAAATGTCACAAATCCCCATGCTGTTTCCATGGACTTTACATCTAATAATAGTACATTGATGCAGAAAAACATGGGACCCTGAATGCTGCCAAAGTAAACTAAGAGCCAAAATATGGCATTAACACCCCATCACCAGAGTATCAACAACATCCAACAACCCACTAATGTCAAATTACTCTGGAGACCAAAGCTTTCACCTTGCCTGGCAGGATGTCACTGACTGAGTGGCAGAGTTGTGCAAAACTGCAGATTCCACAGTGAGAAAAGCTCTCCTCTTGTTCTCAGAAAGGGTACCCCTCCCCCCACTGGCTTCAAGCTCTGTGATAGGTGTGACGGTAACAAATATTCCTGCAGGTAGGTTGGCCCAATAGAATTTAATAGTACTAGTCTTATATAGTACTGAGATTGACATGTCCATGATTAGATAAAATCTGTGTAAAATTATTTATGGCAAAGGCACAGAGCTCCTTATTGACTACGCAGCTCAGGAGGCTGCCGGGAACTGGTCATTCCATCTTGCACATGTGTGTAAAATCTGCCACAGCTATACTTGTTATTGATGGCAGTCTGTAAGCACAGAGCATCCCACTTCTGGAGAACACATGGCCCCATTCCTGCGTATTTGAGCACAGATGCAGTATTCTAAAGCATCTTTGGAAATACAGGTATATCTCTGGGCAAATAACCTTTGGAGCAGTGGTTGCAGCTAGCCACACAGGTTCTTTCATTTTGTATCTCAGCTTAAGGACTAGCATGTTGCACCTGCCTGCTCGCAATTTCTCATGGTGGACATTGAAAAAGATGCTGCAATTCAGCATCTTGAGTTTGAAAATATGACAGGATTTTTCACTGTGGGATTAACAAGAGTGGAAAGATACACAAGAGTGTAATTATAAAAGCGTAAGAGTAACAGTGCTGATGAACATTACCAGTCGACTTAAATCCTGGCAGGTGGGCTGAACCAACCAGAACAACAACAAAAGGCCCACCCCGTCATATGGGGGATAAGCCTCAAAACCCAGAAATTAATTGATTACAGGGGACACAAAATGAAAAACAGGAATGGGGTTGCAGGTCACAGGGTCGGAACAAGGAATCCAGGCTGACAGTGCTGGAGACCAAAACCCTCTCCTTATCCACAGTCAGGGCGCTGTTCACCAAGAGCAGAAGCAATACAAGCTTCCCCACACTACTCCAGCAATATGCCTCAAGCCTGACCTGCAAGGACTACTTCTAGACTGAAAACGGTTATTCAGTCTCCTTGAATGTTTGGCCCTCAGTCTCTCTGCTGAGACAGCCAACAAGGGTGTTAATTATAGCCAATTGTAATAATAATAGTCATGGTATGGGTGCCTCCTCATGAACCTCAATCCAGGATTGACCTCCTTGAGCCAGGCAGGACATCTGGAATTCACTTTGTCTTGGGGAATGCTCTCAACCTTGGCATTTTTAGACTGCATTACAAGATGCATGTGTTCACTTTGGCTTCTTAATTTGAAGCCAGAGCCTGGGTAGTTTTTTCATCAGTGGGTGGGGGGAGCGGGGGCATGGTGTGTTTGACCCATGCTAATTGTTAGAAGCAAATGTTTTACATTCTTGTAAGATATACCTAGATATGGCAACAACAAATGCAATATGCGTAAGTCTACAAGGATACTCATCCTCTGGCATCTGAGTCCACCAGCTCATTTCAAATAGGCCACCAACCAGTCTTCAGATGGGAATGATTCTCCATTACTAGTGACTTCATCGCAAGCTGGATAAACAATAGTCTTAGGGCTGGTCCACACTAAGCCCCCAGTTCGAACGTGAATAACGTAGCTGAAGTCGAAGTATCTTAGTTCGAACTTAAAGGTACTTAAGTCCACACGCGGCAAGTAGGCTCCCCCGTCGACTCCGCCTACTCCTCTTGCAGAGCAGGATTACCAGCGTCGACGGCGAGCACTTCCGGGATCGATTTATCGTATCTAGACAAGACGCGATAAATCGATCCCAGAAGATCAATTGCTTGCCGCCGAACCAGCAGGTAAGTATAGACGTATCCTTAATGTTCCATCCCCACTCCATGCAGCCACCTAGGACCTCAGGTTGGTTGTTTATTTTAAAATTATCCGAGTTCCATTTACAATGACCCTGGAACTATTCAATTGACTGTAGGGTTTAATGGTGCACAACCAACTGAAATCAAATTACTCAGGTTTTTTTATTAACCAAAATAATAATACTTAGCTTTTATATAATCTGTATGAGCTGTAACACAATTGACTAAAACTGGTATTCTAGATTCTATAGCAGATGCCAAAAATATATCAAGATGAACACATTGTAATCAGCTACCTAACAACAACAACAAAAGAAGAAATCTAGCCAAAATGTTTGGCAAATTATCCCTTGTCATTTCTCCATGCAAATATAAAACACACACAGACAGTTATAATGTATAAAATAGTTTATTACTATAATAAATAAAATTAAACTTTTTTTTTTACAAATAGTATTTGTGCTTGTTTAAAAATGTTGATAAGGGAATATTAATGTAGGTGACTGCAACTGTATTTGAACATTCCAAAACAGGAGATATACAGTATATCTACTGGCAGCGTCTCTGCTGACCACAAAAATAGTATCTACTCCTTTTTTTTTTTAATTCATGCTTGATTGAACAAAGTGACAAATGCAAAGAAAAAAACCCAAGCGAGTGGGTTTCTGAAGAGATGAAAACAAGTGAAATACATTTAAAAGCGCCAGAGCAACTGCATAACTGCGTATCAATAAAGTGTCCATGCAGTGGTGGCTAAATATTTAAACGCAGACAGATTTCCAACAGATGTACAAATATTGATTCTATGTAGTACAGTAATATAGCACATTCATTAGAAAAAGTCATATTTCTTTATATAGCAGTTAATCCTGATACAAGATTATTGAACTTCCCCTCTACAGCTAAAGTGATTCTTTTCCTACTTTAGTGATGTATTCAGTGGGAATAAGACCAAAAAAATAAAGTCACCAGTTTTTCACAGCAGTTTCATGAAAACCCCAAGTTACTTCATTAACATTGGGCATTTAAATCCAGTTACAGAGACGCTCTGGGATTACACATCAGACGTGTTTACACAACACTCAATCAGTTTGAAACAAATAACAGCTGCGGTAAAGTCACATCAGCTTTATTGAACTGTAAAAAAAACCCAAAACCACCACCTAAACACAAACACTTCAGCAATAGATGTGTCAGCTCCCTGATATACAAAAGTGTTTAGACAATGATGTTTTGTTTGGGGGAAAGGGCTGCTGGAGTAATTTATTTAACTAATAAGGCGGCAATAAGTAATTACCTACAAGTGACTTCCATTAGACTTAGAAAGCTAATCAAAGTGCTTTATATTTAGACAACACTGTAAACACTACAGAACTGAATCACAGTTTGAACTCACTTATGAAGGGTCTTAAGGCTAAGTGTTGAATGTTTTATTGCAAGAAGCTTTATTTTTAAATTAATTGAATCAATGTTCACCACAACAATGTGGTCTAGAACAAGAGTACAGTAAACCTCAGTACTTACTGTACCTCACATTGAATTAGTGGGGCATTCTTTGAGATGTTTGTCTTTATTACTCAGAAGTACAGATGAAATACAGACTTTGTTATTGCCTATACACTCACAGGAGAGAGCCTTCGGCTATTGGCTTCCTCTGTGTCGAAGTCAAGAATTCAGAGGCCAACATGGCAAGTGCATTTCTACCCCTAGTGCCAGGATAAGAAAATAGAGGTGCAGTGACAAGAAATGTTTAAGACTCAAGTCATTGAAAGACACTTTGCCCCAGGGTAAGTATAGTATTCTCAGCACCTTTGAGACAGCACCTGGTACCAAAAAAAGAACACATTTATTCTGGACTCCATCCTCGGGGAGAAACCACAAGAACCAGTACTAGATCAACTTTGCTTTAGAGATACAATACAGTGAATGGCAACAAGCTGTGGCTTATGAACCAGCTTCTCAGCAATTATGCCAATGTGTTTTTGAACCTCGTGTGTGTTTCCAATTTCTGGCTGTCACAATGTTTGCCAGATCCCATCGCAATCATAGTATCATAAGCTAGTCAGGTTAATAAACTTTAGGCCTAGCAGAGAAACCAAAGAACCGCTGTGGCCTGAAAAGGTTAATGATCAATAGAAACATACCAGACTAGAACATTTCAATGGATACCTACTGGGGAAAACTTATGTTCCCTTCTTGAACCTTTATCATTAAATGAAGGATGTGCTGTTATTTGACTGATATACAATCCATAGACTTATCTATACATACATATATATAATATGTATGTGTATGTATGTATGTATACATGTTATCATATACACTGAAATTTATATAGTAAAGACAAAAATCGTGTTTTAAGTTGTTCCACAAACTTATCAACACTGTTTAAAAAAAAAATCACCAGGATATTCACAGCAAATAGCTCTTTCGGCTCATTAAAGTGAAGTACTGTAGAAGTAGAACATCACCTTCGAAGATGTTAAACTGGATGTTCTCTGGAAAGCGGGACAGCACTGTGAATGAAATTTAAAGCAAGAATAATGTTTATAACAGCATACATGCAATATCAGACAGAAGTAAATGTATCTGAACAGAGATTTTTTTTAAATCATGTAATGCCTAGGGTAATTTACGTAATTTAAGTACTGACGCTTAAAACCTGCCATTTAAACCAAAACACATTATTACTTTATCTGAACTACCTGCATCCCATTTTCAACCTAATTACAACTTTAAAGTAAAAAATCAAGTGTGAAACGGCTTTCTGCTGACATGAAGACTATTCAGCAAGTTGTAAAACTGCAGCCGCACTATGCCAAAAGAGAGTGAACATTGTTTTTATAGCATTTACAAAGGTTTGGTGGTTAATAGAATTCGATATGTAGGATTCATCCATTTCTAAGATGAATAAAATGAGGACATTTTAAAATAATTTGAAAGACAAAAAATCACAAAAGTTTATGTAATACATAAGGCAGCAGAGCGAAACAAAATCAAAGAACAAGAAATAACAATTCAGAGCCTTGATTTCTCTTCAGGAACGTATAAGTTTTGTTGACTTCACAGCCCAATGGGAGGCCTGTGTGTATGTGTATCCAAAAACTGAGTGCGGTCCTAAACAAACACTTTTTTTAAGCTGCTCTTACAATGTATGGGAATCACTGAGGACTGTAACTATATCCTCCAACTAGTCTGAGCAGCTGATGGTTCACACAGCCTTAATGGGCCAGCGTCTGATCTCAGTTACAGCCGTGCAAATCTGGAGTACATCCACTTACTTCGGTGCTGACTTGAAGTTGATACTTGAAGGGGCGCTACTCTGGATTTACATGAGTGTAACAAAGCTACATTTGGCCCATACAGTCATTAAATGTTAACCATAATTCTAAAGCACATTATAACTCGTGATGTCTTCACAAGCCAGAGAATGCTACAGGTGGGTTCTGTTCTTCAAACACCAGTTAGTATAGAGCTTGTGGCTCTATGACTGTGTAATACACAAGTGGAGGACCTCAGACAGTAATAATTTAGCCACAAGAAGTGCAGATCCATGTTAGTTTTGTTTGACCTCCCATGCTGGAGGTACCGTAATCATAGAGCTATTGAGTTCTAGCCCTGCCATTCCAACGTTAGGCACTCAGCAACAGCAACACCAACACCAAAATATTCACTAAAGTTTCCCTGAGAGACCTACACAAACGTCATGTGGCTTACTGAGCAGACTGAATCAGATATGAGCTAGGCAGGGCCAGATAACTGTGATTATGTCTCTAACTCTCCTGTACCTATACTGTAGTACTTCTGGAAGCAGCCACCTACTAGAAGGCTGTATAGTTTCCTCCTAGCCCACCAACTAGAAACCTGGGTATTATATTTTCCAGTGGAAGATGGATGGGTAAAATTTTCAGGAGTGCCGAAGTCCCTTTGATTTTCAATGGGAATTAGGCATTTTTGAAAAATTTATCCAGAAAAACTAGTGTTTGGAAGATGAACTAATCCCAGTTAGAACGGGTTTAGAAATTAAACTCTTACCTGGGGCCAAAGAATTTGTTGGGACTTTCAGGCCCCTAAATACCAATATAAATTAATAATTCATTGTCTCAAAGAGTGTGATTTAGGCTTTAATAATTAATATGACTTAAATATCCCATAGGCTTTAATGGATATATTGATTTTAGAGTCTATGAAAAGTCACTTAATGGTCTGGAACTGAAAAGTGCATGTGTTTGGGTTTATTTTGCTAATCACAACATAGTTATTACTTGTAAATTAGCTATAGAGCAGCAGTTACAATAGGTCTGCAAACATACAGTGAGTTTCTTTGTTCAAATCAAGTTTTCCTTAATACTGTATGTCTTTGGTACATGACAGACACCAATTAGCACTAGAGAAAGCTAACCATGGAGTCCTAAATAAAGTGAGCAAAATGGCACCTGTGCTTCTATGTGAGAGTCACTGATATGTTTTTATTCTTTACTAACCTAAAGAATTGTTCCCACACAGCTGCTTCTCAAGAATACTGCAATTAACAGCAATATTTACAGACAGTGTGTCACCAGGAACCCTTTCAAATGGCTTGTTTTCCCTTGCAACCCCATTATCTAATGTGAAACAAACCTTAAACAACAATCACACCTCCTTTGGAAGTAAGTTTGTATTGTCAAAAGGTAAATGATCAAAAGTCACTACCCCTCTCAGTGGAAAGACCCCTTGTCTATCAGACTGAAAGACCAGAAAATGTTATATCACACGTTAGATCCCTAAAGCACTGTTAAATACAGTGCTAGAGTGTTTACTGTAACAGTATCCCTATCTATCAAGGCCAGGATGCTGGCTAAACTACCTTAGCTAATGATTACTAAATGCTATTTACTAGCTTTGGTAAAGTGCTTGTATCTACATCCACTAGCATTATGAAAACATAAGGTTTGGAAACAGTCCTTTAAGAAGCAGATTTCTTTTTTGGTTGGGGGCATCCCTTGACACTTGCATATACTAAGCATGGTCCTTTTATTTACCATTTCCATTGAAGTTCTAGCTAGGTTAGCATAAGTACAATAACTAGATGTTGAGAGAAAACAAAGAATTCCAACAATCTAAATTCTTAAAAAGCCTTGTGAGAGCCTTTGACTATGAACAAAGAACAGTAGCAAAATAGAAACGTCTGAAGGATAATTCTAACTAGAACCATCAATGGCACAGTATATTTTCATAATAGACTGGAAACCTGGTGAATGGGACAATGACACTGATACATTGCAATGCTTCATATTTTAAGAAGCACCATGTTCAAGCATAGTTCATGCACAGCTCTTTAATTGTCCTCTGGAGTTTATGTAAAAAAAATTAGGTATCGGAAAGCAAAACTAACAATGTATAAGGGCATCTTTATAAATGGTTAGTTTTTGAGAATCCAGTATCCCTGCTGTCGGGGGTGTGGAGGACCTCATCTTCAGTACAGTGGATATCTGAGGGTTTTGCCCACTACAATTACTTTAACATCATGTGCTAGATTTGAAATGAAATGTAGGAAGTTTCAGGTTTTTTCCTCAAGTGTTAATATATAATACCACCCACAGATACCTTTGGAAATTAAGTAGTGCATATTTCTTTTGAAAAGAAACCGTATAAACCTCCCACATATCACATTATCATTGCAGTAGGAAAATATACTGTGACATTTAACATGTACACTCGATCAAGACAGCATCAGACAAAAAAAAATTGCTAGAGAATTTAAGCACCCTGGCAAGTCCTTATGTATCTATACAAAAACTGAGCTGGTTACCTAAGGCATGCTCCAAAAACCTCTATGAGGTTACCTAATGCTTGCAGGAATGGCTGCTGTTTTAAAAATAATTATCCAAATATCATAAGGGTAGGGGGAAAAAAAAGATGCACCAATGAAGGAGATGAAAAGAACTTTATAAACTGTACCCTTGCTGTCAAAAAGACTTCAGTGTCAGCTGCCATCTTGACATGAGGTTGCAATTCCTGTTACCGTATCTTTTTTTAGAAACAGGGAACATGCTTAATGAACTGGTCCCTCACTGGTTTTCATCAAGAAAGGCTAAATTTAAAATGGTTGGGGGGTGGTGTTTATTTGTGTGGTTTTTTGTTTTTTAAAAAAGAAACATCTCAGCTTGCTCCAAAAATGTCCTTTTCTGATTCTGGAGACTGGGGCCTTGATATTTCAAACAGCTCCTGTGGTGACTGAGAGCTTCTTCTTGAGGTTAATATCCTTAGTATCTCCGCAAGCTGTTTTTCTATACTGCTCATTTTTGTGTTTAAAGCCTTGATGTCCTCTTTCAGCTCATGTTTTACTTCCAGCATGGTAGCCTGAAGAGTCTGTTCTGGGATAGGGTAAAAAGAATGCTTGACCTCTGTAAGGACAGGACTTCGGTCCTGAGGGCTCCTTGTCTCCCCAACATTATCCAAGCGCAAGTCACTTTTTGTAATGCCACTATCACAAGAGTCTGTCTTCTTCAGTGTAGTCTCTCCTGAAGTTTTAGTTCTTTCTGGTAAAGTCTCCATGGATTCTGCTTTGGATACTTTGTTCCAGTCTTCCCCCTTTCCGCAAGCATCTTTGAATTTGGCCCAGCCTTTGCGTCTTGGGTAGTCACCGGACACTTTGCACCCTGCATAGTCTGACGTAGGGGCCTGCAATTTGGCATGATCAGGCACACCGGATGTTGAAGCAGACTGGTACGAACCAGGGGTTGCAGGGCTCTCCCTTACCGTTACAATACTAGCTTTCACAATAGTGCGAGAGTGCTCTGCAAGGATGTTGCCCTTTTCCACATCCAGGTCATCTGGATCCCTCCCCCTTTCTGCCGCTAGCCGGGCTTCTTTCTGTTGCCTGAATCTTTGAAACAGCCGACGGACCGGGTGGTCTGGTGGTAGAATCAGAGGCGCTTCATTCTTCCTTTTCATCCTCTCTTCTTCTTCCCGTTTGACATCACTGATCTTCCGGAACACAATCTGCAGAGAAGAAACATATTTCACACTGTTATGAATTACATAAAGGTCACTGTGGGGAGGAAAGGGAAGTAGAGAAGCGTGATCTCTGTTAACATTATTAGAAGCAAACTGCTGCTAACTACAGCAGCGACACACATTTATGTTAATGTTACTGCTCAATACCTAGGGTGGCTTATGTTGTGTATAATGTGGGCTATCTTGATATTTAGAAGCATGCTACATCCATTATATGGCTCCAAACAAAGGTACTGGAAAATAATCTTTTCAGTTCTGAGAGGCGAGATGAGATGGTGTCACTAAATGTAACTATAATAATCACAGTCATTCCATTCTAACATGGATTATTACTGCTGGGTCTTGGGGTTTATCAGTGTACTCATTTTTCACTATTAAAATAGCCATTCTTATGTTTTTCCGCCTACTCATCCTTGAGCTCACTTACTGCACATCATGTGAACTTTGTAATTGTTTTAGTGCAACTCGGCCAGCTAAGTGGTTTGTACGACCAAGATTAACTCATATCAATGCTCATTTACTGTAGTCTCTGAGGTACTTTACTGAAATTGTTTTCCCTCTTGCTTCCTTTTCTTGTTACACGTGTTGTATGAGATAAAGGTTGATAAGTTACTCTGGAGGATAAAAGGCATTTGAGTAGATGTACAAAATAGTAGAATGATTCTCTCTGAGTCTGCTCTGCTCATTGGAATGGTGGGAGCTGCCAGGGAGCTAATTATTAGAGCTAGTTGGAAAAACTTCAAAATTTGAAATATTTTTGACTAAAAAAGGGACACATTTTTCATAAAAAGTTATCCCGTTTTTTGACCACCTCTACTAACAACAACTTCTTGATCCTATGGGCTGATCTGTGCCAGCCCCAGCCCTGGTCTAGAGGCTGCTCAAACTTACACTACTAATGGATGGTCCCATACTGCTCACAGGAAGAATATTCCCCTCAATAACAGTAGACTCTTTATCACTGTTGGTATTTTCCAAACAAGAAAACAGGGTGCACTCAAATCTGGTATTCAAGTAGTTCAATTCCAAAATGTGATGTACATTAATGCTGAAGTTTTCAAAGAGACCAACTACAAGAGTTAAGTACCCAGCTCTCACTGAAAAGCAAGGGAGTGGGGTGCCAATCCCCTTAGGTTCCTTAAAAAAACCCAGTCTAAAGTTATTGTAATACAGGAGAAAATATCCCTGAGGTTCTAAATATGAATTGAAACTGATTAAACAAACCCACCCCTCTGTCACAGAGGAATTTCTATTACAGAATCAAAAATGGCACTGTTTTCTCACAACACCCAATGCTAATGTTTTGTGCTTGGTCTGCTAGCTCTTAAGCTCCTTGACATTCTCCTCAGTGCAATGCAGGCATGCAAATAAAGAGTTGCGTTAATTGCTGGGTATTTAGAAAGGAGAGGAAGTCAGTGGTGGGAGACACATGGAACGTTTGCCAAATAGGAAAGGACGAAATTAGTAGGAAAGGACATTTTATTTTCAAGCTTTAAAGGAGAGTCTAAACATAAACTAAGAATGACAAAGTGTTTGACAGTGTCCTTTCAGGAAATGGCAATAATTAGGAAACTCAGACAAAGGAGTCTAATTTGCAAAAGGAGAGGCATGACACCCAGTCAGAATAAATAATTAATACAATGCTCCAAAATAAGGGCTTGTCCACAGACAAAAGTTGCACCAGTTTAACTGAAGGTGATACATGAAACCAATTTAGCTAAACTGATTTAACTTGTCACATGGATGCTCTGAGATCAGTTTAAACCTGACTTATACTGGTTCAGCACATACCTATTCCTCACAAGTGCAGAATGTACACAGAGAAATGGGTGATGAGAAGTGGGCTGCAATCACAACTACAACTAGGGGGGCTATCAACTGTTGGGAGAGCTTGACATCAGCCTGCTGTTCCCGCCAACCGGGAGGGCCTCAAACTGTTTACGCCTGGACATTGTAATTCAATTTGACAGTAAGATCTGACTGAAGCTGCTACTAGTAGGCCATGCACTCAGGTGCAGAATCAGCTGGTGAGAGTTCTGGGAAGCAGCAGTATGTCCAAATCTGCGTTTGTGCACGTTCTTGCATGCTGCGCAGGAAAGGTATGCCAGGCTTCTGGCCTTCAGTACAAGAGTGACTGGAAGTTGTGACCAGGTCCAATAAGGTGGACACTGTGGGGAAGGTTTTCAAGAGTGGTCAGTACCCCGCAGTTCCCCTTGTTTTTCATTTAGGTACCTAAATGGGACCTGTTGGGTGCTGAACTCTTGAAAATGTGGCCACTGGCAGAGTTCTCCGCACGGTGTGGTAGAGAGTCTCAAGCCCCAATGCACACCTATTCCTGTACTCTGAAAAGCACATGGTGAAACGGGTGGGGACACGTGTAAAGAATGGGATTGTCTGAGACATCGGCTTATGCATGAGCTCATCCCCATTATCGTAATCAAGCGCCTCGCTACCTGTTTCCATCTGCGAGAGGCAAGGTGGGTGAGGCAATATCCTTTATGGGACCAACTTCTGTTGGTGAGAGAGACAAGCTTTGGAGCTTACACAGAGCTCTTCTTCAGGTTACTTCTTAGGTGTTTCTCTAGCTACCAGGCAGCCACACAGCAGCACTCTCATTAATGTAAAATCAGATCCCCTGGACTCCCCGCCCTGTTCATCAGCTTTTGATGACATATCTGTGCAGTACCCCGCACCCCTTCTGTGCAGAATCAAACCCGAAATGTGTTTGTCTGGGAACTCCCCCTTAGGCTGGTGTGCTGGCTCTTTTAGCTGAAGGCGTGGGTAAGAAGTGAGATTCTCCTTTTTAAATTTGTAAGAACGATGCACAAATACATGTCACAATATATCCGTTGCTCTGGCAGCTTTTCCAATGCTGTGCTTTTTCACGGCTGCTCCTTACTGAATAGTTTGACTCCACTGAAGTTTTATGGTAACTGTGCAAAGAGAAGTGGGAATGAAAGAGGCTTTACAGGGCTGCATTTGGGGTTTTTGTTTGTGTTTGTTTTAAAGGGGAGATTCAACTGTTTACAAAGAAACAAATACAAATAGCTGTTTTGGGTGGATTGTTTTCTGATCAATTCTGAGGCAAAGAGGAAGATGGACAGACAGACAGAAAGTATATGAGGTCTAAAGGAAGATGCAAGATCTGGAAAAAGAGGTCATTTTTATTTCAGCTTTTTTTTTCCTAAAATTTTGCATTAATTCCTTAGTGGAAAAGGGAAAGGTACTTTTATAGAGTTGTCTTATCAAGTGTGTAACACAGCGACATGCATATTAGCTAGTTAACTAACTGAAACGACAATGATACTCTAGAATAGACTGGGTGTAATGAGCAAACTTGTATTGTGGTTCCTAGCAGCAACCCCCAGCCCTATATTTCAGGCTCTAAAAATGCTACATTGCTTGCTGTATTGATTTTGCTATCATTCACAACGAATTATAGTGGAAACATCACATCCATATGTTGGAAGATTTAGCATTTTTGCTTAACTAAAAGGAGATTATTGTAATTGCTTTGAAGGCTGATCAAATCTCATACTCCTGTCTGCAAGCGAAGTACCACAGTGCCAAGGCAGATGCTCCATCCCTAGATACCTGTACAGTATTGCACAGTTTTCTTGATGGATTGCAAGGATTTCAGCCTAAAACAACAGGTTACTGCCAATAGCACGAGGCAGGCTACTTAACTAGAGAGACCAGCTGTATGAAATCCTATGCTCCAATTAAAAAAGGGCATGCTGCTAAATCAGTGACCAACCTACACTTTGGGTTAGATGGTGCGTAAACTGGGGATGGGGGAGTGTGGAACAGCTGCTCAGCAGAAGCTGGTCCTGGAAGCAATCCAGCTGCCCCAGCCTGAATGCCGCTAGGGGCTCTGCAGGAGCACGCACTGGAACAAAGAGCTCTAGCCCCCATTTATAGAGAGCAACGGGACTAAACTATCCCACTCCCCTGCAGCAGCTGCCACTATGGAAGGGAAGCCAAGGTCATGGTCCTTTGGGGACTCGAGTGCTGCTGCTGGCATTAGATGTGTGCACACTTTGCACTGCCCGCTGGATTTCAGGCTGGGCTCTACAAAACGATGGATGGCGTAGGCTCCTCCGTGTGCTCTTTCCAACCCCTCTTGTGCACCTATGTGGGGTTGGCCGCAATCTGGTCTGTTGAGTTAAACAGAGAATAGAGAGAAGTGCTACATTTTGCTCATTGAAATGAAAGCAAAGCACAGAGTTGTGCTTGATGTGTTCCAAGAGTCTAGCCCCCTTCCGTCATCGTCCATTTGAGTCCACCAGAGGGATGTGCTTGTCGTACCTGAAGCACCGTTAGTCACACCTTGATAACCCTACAACTCGCTACTCTGGTAACATCTCTGTTCCATCACTACTGATAGGACATTAAGATTAACAAACAGCGCAACTTCAGAAATATACGTAAAAGAGAGAGCAGTGAACCAAAGTGATGGTGTATTTTAAAACTGCTCTTCTGCAGTCAAAGCTTTACAATGGGCAGCTAGGTGGGTATTTTTTTTTCCAAACAATATGGCCTGGGTCCTCAGCTGGTGCCAATCAGCATAGCTCCCTGGATGTCAACGGATCAAATCCAATACACACCAGCAGAAAAGCTGGCCAAAAATGCTTTTAAAATTATATTTCAAAGTCTGCATCAATGAATATGAGTTTTCATGAAACAAGGCTGCAATACCAGTGACAAATGCCTCAATATCCCCTTTTTCTCTCCTTGCACAAAGGTGCTTGCTTCCAGGGAGCCCACTGTGCTTTAAACATCCTCTACATGCCTGTTGCAGCTCATTCAGATGTCACTTCTGACATCTCATGTGTAAGAAATGAGAAGGAGGAAATGAAGCAAAAGAAGCAAAAAATATTTAACAGTGCAGTCAAGGTAAATACTTGTCTTACTGTGTAACCATGTGATCTTATTGGCAGGTAGGTGCCCGACTCCCACTGAATGTCATAGAATCATAGAATATC